TTCTCCCGATCCAGGAAACATATTCAGTTAGTAAACTTACTGAAATTTTCCAACGAGAAATCGTGAGATTACATGGTACGCCGTTTCTATTACTTCTGATAGGGACCCGTGATTCACTTCACAATTCTGGACCGGATTGAATAAAGCTTGGGATTCGAGATTGACTATGAGTTCTGCATTTCATCCTCAAACCGACGGGGAAACCGAGCGAACAATTCAGACGCTCGAAGATATGTTACAGGCGTGTGTCTTGGAGTGGTCCGGTAGTTGGGATGAATTTCTTTATCTTGTGGAATTCTCATAACAATAGTTGGCAATCCAGTATTGGGATGGCTCCGTACGAGGCCTTATATGGACAGAAATGTCGTGCGTCAACCTATTGGAATGAAGTCGGAGAAAAAGTCATCAAAGGACTTGACTTGGTTCATATTACTACCGAAAAAGTCAATATTGCCCGCCAGAAAATGAAAGAAGCTCAATCACGCCAGAAAAGTTATGCGGACAAACATCGYAAGCCTCTCGAATTCCGTCCAGGTGATCATGTCTTTTTGAAAGTCTCGTCGTTCAAAGGTACCCGGAGATTTGGAATCAAAGGCAAGCTTAGCCCTCGATACATCGGTCCATTCGAAGTTTTGGAGCGTGTTGGAAAAGTTGCATATCGTCTAGCCCTACCGCCTCAATTATCGCACATATACAATGTTTTCCATGTATCGRTGYTCCGCRGGTACAATTACCACCCTCTTCACGTCGTAGAATATCCGTGTGATAAAATTGAAAGTGGTCTCTCTTATACGGAAGAACCAGAAGCAATTATCGATCGGGAGGAGAGAGTGATGCGACGAAAAGTAATTCCGTTTGTCAAAGTTTTATGGCGAAATCATTCGGAACGAGAAGCTACATGGGAAACTGAAGATTCGATACGTAAAGAATATCCTCATCTATTTCAGGTAATCTAGTTTCGAGACCTTAACTCGATTTCGGGGACGAAATCTACTTTTTAGAGGGAGGGAATATAACAGCCTAGATTTTGTTATTTATTTATCTTGGTATATTCATTTACATGACAATTAGATGTTTTATCTACTTGTACCCTTGCTTAAAGTAGTTGTATTTTGGACTAATAATATAARTCCAAGTTTTATGTAAAGGGTCGATTATGTTAGAAAATAAATTGGTCTTAAGACTAGAAATGTTAAGAAAAATCCATGTAAAAACTAATATTGAATTAGGCAATTGATGAGTGGTAACATTTGCTAAGTGTGTATTCTTTTACTAAGTATTTAAACCCTTAATTTTTCTGAAAATACATCTCATTTTTTCCATTTTCACTTCTCTCTCTAAAACCTACGCCCTCTCAACTCTCTTCACATAAACCCTAGCTTTTGGTTCTACCTCCTCATGCATCTTCCAATTTGGTGTTAGTTTGAAGATTTAAAGCTAATTGATTGAAGATAATGTAAAGAATCAAGGTATGAATCTATAAATTTCAAGATTTGTGGTCTAATTTGTTGATTTGTGATAAAGATTGGAAAGGTTCATGTTAGGGTTCATAAGGTTTTGATTAGTAAGTTAAACCTTTGTTAAATGATGTTATTTTGATGTCATTGTTGGTTAAAGAAGTTATAAATTAAGTTTTAATCATTTATTTGCAATATGGTAAGCTAGATAGTTGATTCTTGATGGTATTAGTGTCAAACTTATGCAAAATGGGTTGTTTTGAGTTGTGTATAGGAACCTTAGTACCACTGGTTGTTTAAAAATTCATATAAAATCACTCATTGATCCGATTGAGGTGTGGCATATATTTTTGGAAAGGTATCTGTGTCTACTACAACTTTGTAGTTTATGTTCAGACTTGATTTTACTTCCATAATGCTCAAAACAGTGGGTTTATGTAGCTGGTCCTGTGCAAAAACGGGATTTGCATACTGTTTTTAGAAAATTCATATAAAATAGGTTTTTGCTCCAAACGGAATGAATCCAAATCGACTGGAACCCTAAGTATTCGGCCTACAACTTTTGTTTAGACATTAACACCTGAATGCTTATCTAAATATGAGAAAATTGATCAAAGTCAAGTTGGTTCAAAGCTGTCTGGTGCAGGGGATTTAATAGCTTTACTTTTGCTTGTACTTTGTGCTTTGAGGATTGTAATATCCGTAGATCTTGTATCAATCAGTCACAAACATGTGTAATTTATTCAGGACCAATCTTAGAATAAGAAAGGGGCATTAACAAGGGGATAGAAGCTATGTGTTTACTTCTTCGATTGTCGTCTAAGGTACGGATACCCGATTCTTGTGACTTTCTTTAATCACTAATTCATTATAGAGGCAATATTGTATCTCATTACCATCTCGGCATCTATCACTTGTATATAATTATAGTTTCATATTTTGTGAGATTATCCCTTTTCACATTGAATTGATATGTTTTTTTTTGGTGATTTGAGCACTTTGTGCTTTAAGGCATGACATCGAGGGCAATGATGTCGTGACCCCTCCATGGCGGCTATAAATTGTCATGGCGTCCTCGCTATTATACCCCAATGTCAATAAGTGGGTCTGGCCTGGTACCGGTTAATTTGAGGGCGAATGGATCGATCCTAAGAACCGTTATCGGGAGCCGTATTCTGGAACCACTTTCGGGAGCCGATTATCGGAAAGGAATTGAGTGTATTGCCCTACACTCATTTTCCATTGTTCGAGTGGTCCGTACAACCCTCGAACCCATTTGATTTTCTTATTTAATTTTCAATTCTTGACTTGACGATATTATTTTAAATTATTTCAGTATGGACATTTCATGTCAATTATTAATTGATCCCTTCATGTTCTGGTTTTCGGATTCCTTATAATTATTATCTTTTATTAACTCGATTTATACTTGCAATCTTGCTATTTTAATTATCCGTTCACTGAGCATTTGGCTCAGCCGAAGTTTGTTTTGTTCTCGGCAGGTACATGATCATAGGTGAGACTATCACGGGACTGAGAGCGATGGAATATGACTATTTTGAAGACGACCTTGGATAGTATAGTAGTTTTTGTTTATGTATGTATATTGTAACTATATCCATGTTGTCTTAACTTTTAGTCTAACACGTTCTTTTGATGGATGTTCTTTGTAACTCTGGTTATCTTGTATATATATATTAGCTATTTATCTTGTTATGTTTTCCTCCGTAACACACCATCTTCCGGCCATGCGAGACAAGGGTGTTACATAACTGATTTTCAACAAAGAAATTTTGTCTCAAAAAGCGTCTCAATCTTTATGACAAGGAACTTACAGAAGATGACATAATGTATAACATTACTTCCATCTTTTATAAATCAATAAATATTAACGAACCAATATAAGCTGAAATATAACATTTAGACAAACTCATCAACCTACTGCAAATGGTTAAGAGATATAACAAGGTTCATTCGAATAACAACACTAGATATGTTGGGACTAAGAAACTTCCCGAGATCAATAATGCAAGTGTTAGAGGTGAAAACAACTTCAAAAGATAGTGAATTAGAGATAATTTCTCACACGTAACATCTACGTACCATGTGGTCGAGGTCATAGATAGGGTCACGATTATGGCAAAAGTCGAGAAGAATTTTCCAATCCTTGGAGCAAAGATGCAACACTACCCATAAGATAATGGACAATAAAAAAATGTACTAATAATCACTCATATAATAAAAAACAAGTTGAAAATGAATTATATCATATTAATCTATTGAGCATAGGTTTATTTGAAATTTATTTTAAGTATTAAGTTAATTTCATTTGTTGATGTAAAACCGAATATATAACCATTATAGATGTAAACAAATACATGAAAATAAATATAAAACTCTCAAAATTCTTCGTTCTGTGTAACAATGTATCAAGAAGAACTTGAATGTTTTTGTGGGACCTCTCACACAATCTTAGATAAACGAATATTTGTTTTATAATTCCTCCCACCATAGTACTTAGACGATTGACTGTCATTTTCTTATTAGAACAAGATTAATAGTCACTAAAGCACTATATTATTGAAACCTTTTTAAGATATTGGTATCAACTAGAAATGATATTATGAATAGAAATGGGTGTATGTACATTAACTCTAATGATATGAAATGAACATATATTAGAGAAATAAATGTGTCAAGCCGGAATCTTCAAAATAATGGATGGGCTCGGGCGATGAAAACATATTTTGGACAAGCCCGCTAGCCCGTTATATAATCATAATCAACATATATATATATATATATATATATTAATATTTTTGTCAAAAATAAGTTTAAAAGTGGTTTTCGGTTGGATTCCCTCTATTGAGTACCCAATCACCTCTCATTTATATACTATGTGTCAATATGTGATATGTCATACAATACATCTCGAATTTTGATCTACAAATATTACGTGGTCAAATATTTTGTTGTAGAATCCGAACTTCAAAGGTTGATATCTTTGAAGAGGAAAAATCCATACTCCATACTTTGTGAAAATACTTTTTTCGTACCTTATGTATGTATATTTCATGTTCTTTTAGTTCGAAAAAAATATGTATTTGGGATTATTCTATATAAGTTTTTTTAATTGTAATTTTTTTTGGCAAGCCCGGCCCTTTTATAAGACGGGTATAGACAAGTTCACAATCCCGTAAAAACAGGTTCGGATTTACTATGTTAGGTTCGTTAAATAAGAACAATATTACCTATTCAAACCTCCAAATGATCACCTCTAAGTCAAAGGTAAACTATGAGATTAAGAAATAAACACCAAACAGAGAATTTTTGTTATACTAAAGGGGCGTGTTGATCCTCTCTCTCAGTGATTTGATGATAATCCCTTTTTCCTTTCGATGTATTTCTGTATCTGTAATTTCAGTTCCAGCGATCATACACTGAGCTT